ATGGGACAATGAACTGCAAGGTGCAAATGGAGCAGAACTGATCCCAGGGACAGAGCCCGTGCCCCTCGTGCATTTTGGGGCCATTTTGGTTCATCTTGGGTGCAGCCCTGGCTGGGCTCTGGTGCTGCCCAAGGTGCATCCATGGAGGGGATGCTTTGGATAAATCCCTGCTTTATTCTTTATCTCCATCCAGTCCTGCTCCAGCTCAGCCTCTCAAGGCATCAGTTCCTAGAGAAAAGCTGGACCAGCTCAGTGCTCTTGAGCTGAATTTTGGGTGTCTCCCTCCACTGAGGCACCTGAACTGTGAAGGTGTCACCACCATCCCATAGGTATCCATCCACAAGACTTCCCAATATTTTCCAATATAACAGCAGCAAATTGAATTCCTCTTCACTTCTCCACTATGGCAAGGAGGATTTTTGGGTCAGACTCAAAGATCAAGAAACAGCAGAAGATCAAAACAAAAGAGCTGATTTTTCTGTGCTTCTCTCTTGCTCCTGGTTTGATTTCTGCTCTCTTGCATGTTGGGAGAGAATATTCCTTGGAAAGCCATGTACCAGTGGGATGCTTCTGTGGGAGATCTGCTGAGCAGATACACACAGCTGGCTCAGATTTTTTCACCACTAAATATTTAATTAGTCCAAGTTTTAGAGATGCTTTCTGAGCTGAGTCAATTTCTGGTCATATTTTTTGGGAAACAATTGTAACATATTTGAATAAAAGTTGGAAATCCCATCAAACTCAGAGCTCCTGCCCTGGATTTGAGGGGCTGAGGTGTGCTTGGGAAGCTCATTAAAAACAATCCTGAACTCCCAAATCAAACCCTTGGAGCTCATGGAAAGTGACCTGAGTGATTTTCATGCAGTTTACTTCAAACACATCAAATATCACCAAAATAACTCCTCAGTGGGAACAGCCTTATGCTGGGAGTGGATTTTCACTCTCAATGCCTGCATTTCCAGGGGGTTTGCTCTGTGACATATTACACAATTCCTGTCTCCTGGCCTCTGCTCTTTCTCCTGGTTGGGAAAAGCTTTTTGCTAAATTTGCCTTAAAATTTTTGTGAAATCTCTGAGTTTTCTAAATTAATACACAGTGCTGAAGTGCCACAGGAGGAGAATATCACAGGAAGGTATTTCACAATGTGGGGAAGGCAAATGCATTGCAACTTGCAAGCTCTGGTTGTTATTGCAGCATTTGTTTGTGTTTGTTTATACACTTTTAATTCCCTGTTTATTCTTTTAATTCTCTTTCCTGCTAAGGATCTTTGAGTTTTGTAAATATTGATGGGAAAGTACAGTAATTCCCATTCTCCAGAAGAGAAACTGATATGGCTTTGAAAACTGAGATCTCCAAGTTACCCACATTCACCATGAAATGAAACAAAAGGAGCCTTTATTCTATTTTCACTCAAATACTGGCTTTTAACACCAAACTCCTCTTATCTCACCTTCTGGATGATTAGATGACAGAAAACTNTGAAGGACAAGTAAAACACCTTTTACTAGCCAATACAGTAATTGGCAAGAAAGCTACTAACCAATTGAAGTTGTACACGAGGTCTGTGAAATCTGAACAAAAATGGAAATAAAAAGGGGCTTTTCCTGCATGGAGAACCTGAGTCCTGCCTACTTTATTACAACAGAGTGAGGCATTGCATAAAGGAGGCAGAAGTTCAGGATTAGCTGGGCACCAGTTGGGTACAGAAGACTGAGCTGCTTTTTCCAGCTCTCTCCTTTAAATTGCTGCCTCTCATTAACAGCAGGGGTAAAAAACCACCCCAGCCCCAGGAGAGACCCTCCCATACCGTTTTCACAGCCTTGATGAAGTTCAGACTTTCCTCTTCCACGTCCTGCTGCAGGAGGCCAAACCGCTTTCCATACAGCACCAGGCAGATACCTGTTGTTAGGCAATATTATAATTAAATTAATAACAAAAGGCCGTGTGGGATGCATCGTTTATCATCAAGGAATGGCTTGGGTGAGCCCTCTGAAGGTGTTCCTTGGCGCAGACCTGGCAGAGCAGCTCTTGTAAAACACCTCTGCTTGTTTGCCCTGGCCCCATTGAGGGTTTCCAGTTTGGAGCCTTTGCAGCAGCATTTCTGCACAATTAGTGGTGCCACTGATCCCCTCACCAGCAGCAGAACTGCAGTTTTGGCTCATATTTGGTGAATTTACTGAGGAAAACTGAGTGGCAGGAGAGCAGGGCTTGAGGGGCATCTCCCACAGCATTCGCCCTCCTTGCAAGGACTGGCAGCATCCCACGCTGCACCTTTCCCACTTATCCTTTTCCCCCATTTATTTTCTAACTATCACTTCTTATTTCTCCCTTTCCAAAAGCAGCCATCACCAGTGACAGTGGGAACAAAACTCCACTTTGAGGAGCTCAGCCCAGAGGAGGCAGCCAAGGGCAGCTGGGTCTGGCAGGGCTGGATCAGTCACTGCACCCAACCCTCCCTGTTTTTGGGGGTCCCTGAGCCACTCTGTGCCCTGTGTCATCCCTGGCACATTCCTCAGTGAGCTCTGCAAGGCTCCGGAGCACGAGGCTCTGCCTTGGTAACTCATTCCAGCCCTTCTCAATCCCAGTGTAAACACTGGAAATGGGATTTTGCAGACCTTGCCTACAGCCAGCACTCTGTTATTGGAATATATCATTGATCCTGCTGATAGTTGACAAATATCAGATGGGCAAAAAATAACAAAAAATGTTATCTGATCCCACTCTAGATAAACGAACCATAACCCCCCCCAATTTTTTGATTTATAAATCATTGGAATGTTTGAATTTTTGTAAGCCGTGCAAGTAGCTAGGCAGAAAATTATATTTGTGCTGATGAATTTTGCACTGACAGTCCCTGGCTGTTCTGCAACTCTCTTTGCATGATATTATAGCTGAGAATTTGAAAATAATCAGCCAATATTCATCCCTGATCATATTTTAACTGCAATGCCCTGGCAGGTGCACCACACTCACTTTCAAAAGACCATTTGTTGAATTCTGAATAGATATCTTCCATCTGGCCATTGTGGTCACAAATCTCATCTATTCTGTACATAAAGTCCTCCAGGACCTAAATGGTGGAGAGAAGAGAAAGAAAAAAGGGAATAAAATGACATCAACAAATAAAAATCCGGTGTAATTCAGCATTTCAACTGCTGTTTGAGCAGATAACAATCTTGCATGAGAGGAATCCTTTTGTTGCCCGTTCTTTGAACAAGATTCAACTTCCCCCTGTGTGAACAAGTGCTTGGATTTGACAGGCTCCGGTGAACCGTGCTGCCCTCGCAGGGATGCAATCCTCACCAGCTGGGGTTTCACAACTGGGATTAAGGTGTTTGTCACTGATGCTCCTCAGCCTGCCCAGGAGCACAGAGGTTAAGGACAGAGGTGTTCCCTGAGGGGAGGAGCAGAGGAACGAAGGGGTAAAGGCAAAAATTACAGCGTGCAGGAAAAGCAGGGAAAAGCTGTTTGCTGGAGCCTGGATCCTTATGGAACAATCCTGTTTTTCTGTGGGGACACCCCCAGCTCCAGGTTTCTCTGTGGTCTCAGACCCTGGCAATCAGTTTGTACTCGTTATTCCCTGAATGTTCTGGGTCTGAGCTCGTGGTTTATCACTGTGGGGTAAATAAATAAAACCGCCCAGATAAACCGGATCTGCTCCAGCCCCCCAGGCAGGCAGGTGAGCAGAGAGAGAGGGGATTTCTCAGAGCAGGTACCTCATTGATCGCCGTGTCCAGCTTCACAACCTCCCGGGGCTTCATCAGCTTCTTCTGAAAGGCACTTCTGACCCTCTGCCAGTCCTTTCCCTCCCTGCATCGGAACAAAA